CTCAGGATAACATTGTGCAATTTTCTTTCTCCTGGCCTTTGTGCTATTGTAAAGACTTTTGCATGTGTTAGAAATCCTACCATGTATCATCATTATTTTTGCCTTTAACACCCAAATACTTTTTAGAGAGTTTTTAAAAATAAGAAGAAGTCAGGGCACCTGGGTGGCTCGGTCCGTTGAGTGTCCAACTCTTGATCTCAGCTCAGGTCTTGATCTCAGGGTTGTGAGCTGGGAGATACAGGATCGGGAGAGCCAGCCGGGAGACACAGGATCAGGAGAGCCAGCCGGGAGACACAGGATCAGGAGAGCCAGCCGGGAGACAGAGGATCAGGAGACCCAGGGGTTGTCCCTCTTTTCCTCATGGCCCCTGGGGTCCCGTGTGATAGGCACTGTGAGTGAGAAATTGGCAGTCCTCAGAAGAATACATTTGACTATTTTTTAGATAACAGACAAAATCCTGGAAACATTTACCCTTAGATCCAATCAGTCTTAGAACCATGAAACGTTAGAATCATAGACTCCTCAATCCTGTAGTATGTAAGCTCCATGAAAGCAGGGATTTTGTCTATGTTTTGGACTGTGAATTTCCACACAAAGCATCAGTGGCAGAGGTGGGCAGAGATCCACACCTCTAAAGCATACCCATTGTACCTTCACGCTGTCATCTCCTTTTTTTTTTTTTTAAGATTTTTTTTATTTATTTGACGGAGAGAGACACAGCGAGAGAGGGAACACAAGCAGGGGGAGAGGGAGAGGGAGAAGCAGGCTTCCTGCCGAGCAGGGAACGCAATGCGGGGCTCCATCCCAGGACCCTGGGATCATGACCTGAGCTGAAGGCAGACGCTTAACGACTGAGCCAGCCAGGCGCCCCATGCTGTCCTCTCCTATCTGAGACCAGAACTCCCGTCCTGAGTTCTTCACCTACTCTCCGCCTGGTATCCTGACTGTCAACTTGGAGAAAGGGGGAGCAGAGCAGGTGCCCACATTCTCCTCCTTCATCCCTGGCTTCCCCACCACCTCCTTCAGGGATTTCAACAGATTCTCCACATGCACACCCAGGATATTTCTTACAAAGTGCTTGGCTGCAGGACTGATGAGCTCTGGCCCGAGGGTACTGAGGAGGAAGCCTGAGAACCACACAGCAGTGACCAGGTCCTATATGTTCTTGAATCACCACCGTCAGCTGCTCCCAGGTCTTATCAGGGCCTTTTGTATCAAGCCCAAAGGAGATGGTGGGGAGGAAGGTCCTGGGTGCCTCCTACTGAGTCATTGTTCCTGGCCATGCGGGGCATATTAGCTCGCTAGGGCTGTGCGAACTAAGTACAGCACCCGAGTGGCATAAACGTCAGAAATCCATCGGCACCCCTCAGGCACTGTGTTGTTGGAGTCTGCCTGTTTTCTTCCTTCTTAGCTTCTCCTTTCCCCAAATTCTCCTGTTACTTATTTCTCTCTCCATCACATCCCATTCAGCTGCCACATCAAGGTCATCGGGCTGTGTTGTCTCCCCCATTTGCATCCATACATGTGGGAATCCCCACTCCACGCCCTCAAATAAATAAATAAATCTTGAACATGACTGTTCACAGTGACCTCAAGCTAGCAGCACATTTTAGATCATCTGCAACTAAGATTTTTGCCGCATAATCTGCCTACAGATTTGGCTCACTCTTAAAAAAAAAACCTAGTTACTCTTAAAAAAACAATTTTAAATACAGTAAAACTTGCTTTTTACAGAGGTTTTACAAATGCATAGATCCTTATTACCACCACCGCAGACAGGATACTGAGCAATTTCAAGAGCCCAAAGACTTATATTATTTTGTTTTCATATCCTTACCCCACCTCTACCTCCTGACAACCATGGATGTGTTCTCTGCATCAATATTTTTGCCTCTTTCCAGAATATCATATAAATGGAATAATACTGTATATAACCTTTTGAGACTGGGTTCTTCCACCTAGCACAATGCCTTTGCAATTCATCCAAATTCTGTGTATCAGCAGTTGTTAGTTTCATTGCTGAGTAGTATTGTTGCACGGATGTGACATGGGGTGTTCATCCATTTAACTCTGAAAAACATTTGGGTTGTTTCTGGTTTGTGGAGATTATCAATAAAGTTTCCATAGGTATTCATGTACAGGTTTTGTGTGAACATGAATTTTCATTTCTTGAGAATAAATACCTGGAAGTGGGACTTTGGGTCATCTGATTAAATTATATTTAGCTTTTAAGGAAACTGCCAAATCTTTCTCTCGAATAACTATACTATTTTGTATTTCCGTCATCAATATATAAGAATTCTAGTTGCTCCAAATCTTTGTCAATGCTAGGCATCACTAGTACTTTTTATTTTAGTCATTCTAATAGGTGTGTGGGTTATCTCATTAGGTTTTTTGTTTGTTTGTTTGTTTGTTTTTTAAAGATTTTATTTATTTATTTGACAGAGACAGAGACAGCAAGAGAGGGAACACAAGTAGGGGGAGGGGAGAGGGAGAAGCAGGCCTCCCGCTGAGCAGGGAGCCTAATGCGGGGTTCGATCCCAGGACACCAGGATCATGACCCCAGCTGAAGGCAGACGCTTAACGACTGAGCCACCCAGGCGCCCCATCTCATTAGGTTTTAATTTGCATTTCCCTAATGACTATGATGTTGAGCATTGATTCATGAGCTTGTTTGTCATTCATATATTTTTTTTAGTGAAGTGCATGTCCAAAAATTTCGCCCATTTTTCAATTGGATCGTTTGTTTTCTTAAGTTGAGGTTTGAAAGTTCTTTACATACTCCGTATATAAGTCCTTTGTTTTATATATGAGTGGTGTTTACCTGAATTTACAGGTGTGATAAAACGGCATTGAAACACACACACACATGTAAATCTTGTAAAATCTGAACAAATTCTGTAGATTGTACCAATATCAATTTCCTGGCTTTTGGTATTGTACTATAGTTATGCAAAATGTTACCATAGGGGGGAACTGGAGGAAGAATACACAGAACTTCTTTGTACTTTTTTTTTTTTACAACTTCTTGTGAATCTATATCAAAATAAAAAGAAGAGGAAGTGTAGCCAAGTTGACAATAGATATTGAATCCATACTCTTCATAACAACTTAAAAGTTTTTTCCATTAATTTCTGCATTGATATTTGTTGTCTTCTTCCTTACACTATCTTTGAATTTTCTTTTTTTTTTTT